ACAGAATGGCCCTGCTCTGTGTGTGCAGTGACGGCAGTGCGGTATGCTCAGTGGCCTGTGACAGATTCATAATAGCTGTGCTTGTTAAAATGCTTGCACGCATCATTACTGAGGGCTTTTATGATCTTCTGTATTGACCTGGAGGCGGAGCTAGCTGCTTAAATCAGCTCTGGCAGAAAGGAAGCTCTGCTAGTCACGGGATCCACTGAGGGTTTATGACGGACAGTGGCAATGTGGTGCTCCACTACCATATTAGAGGTGGTTGGAAATGAGTACACTATGACCAAAAGTTTATAAATACCACCTCATCCAGCATTTCTTCTGAACTTAAGGGTATTAATGAGGAGTCTGTCCATCCTTTGCCCCTGTAGGAGTCTCTGCTCTTCTAAGAAGGCTTTAGATTAGATGTTGGAACATTGCTGTGAGGATTTGATTGCATTTAGCCACAAGAGCATTAGTTGGATGATTAGTTCTGGATCACACACGTCACTCCAGCTCATCCCAAAGGTATTAGTTGGAGCTCCATCACTCCCGAGAACCACTGCTTTCCACTGCATTCCACTGCTCCACAGCCCTGTATTGGGGAGCTGATGCTTGGCATTGGGAATGGTGGCCTTAGGCTGCTCCAGAGCATACCATTCTTTTGGCAGTTCTTTTTCTATGCATATTATACAAGCTGTGTCAGCAATTGACTAATTGAAGGCATGTCTACAAACTTTTGAAAATATAGTGTACCTTCATGGGGAGTGGAGTCATTTGAGATTGGGCCTCAATTACCAACCCTTCATAAAAAGAAATTTCTTCCTAAAACCCACTTGTATAATTTTCACAAAGATTCTGACATTCACCAATGTTCTCTTATTTGGGATTTGTTTTAGGTAAGAACAGAATCTACACACTCAGGAGCACAAAGGTGTGAAAAGTTCTGCGGTTTAAGAACAAGTCATGAATCTGATATTGACTTTTTGCTTAGGAACTTTCTCAAGGACATATTTAAGAAAAGATTTAGGAAGATATTTGGTGAATGAGGCCAATTGTTCCCTTCTCTAGCTCTCCTTCATGCTCACTTGCTCGCTCTATCCTCTCTCTTTGTCCGTCTCAGCTCATGCAACTAGCAAACTCCACTGAATATCCTTCCTAAATTTGCAAACACCCCCACAATACATGCTGAGAGACAGATGATGAGGAATATGGGGGGGGAGTGATATGAGATGGGCTGATATGCTAATAAACTGATAATGTGCAGAAGGATATGTTGCACTCTGGGTATTGCATATTTAAAGTTTCATTTGTATTGGCATATGCTTTTCTATGTATGCCTTGTCCAAGGGGAAAGCTTGTTGCTTCTCCATTTGAAATCCTCTAGATTATTACATATTAATCTCCCCCAACAGCCCAGCAAAGGGCCTTTGTGACTTTACAATAGGTCTTATCCCAAACTTTGCTTTCAGATTCTGGCCATAGATCAGAAACAGTGAGCGATGCCAGGACTGAACATGTTAAGTGTGATGTTATTTTAACCTATTGCTTGAAATGGATTCATACAGCAGTGTTGACAGGCTCCATATTTTTTATTCATGGCTCCCACACACCCAGCCAGTGACTTCAGAGGACAGGAGGGAGGCTGATTCATAATGCATGGAGATGTAGAGGCTTTTTGGATGGCCTCTTTGTGTCTGTCAGAGGTGGAGAGCTATATCACTAATAACAATGATGTTTAAGCAGGTTTAAAGTGCCATATCTTTTATTTTTCTTGTAATTTATTTTTTCCACCCTGAGGTCCACTTATGATATCTATATGGGTTTATGTGCCAAAAACACTCATGACTAGTTTTCAAACTCTTTTTATACCTTAAACAGGCTGTTTTTTACTGTCCACAAATTATTTTTGTTCTGGTCGGCTATGCTGTATTGTCATTCAAAAAGCAGTCTGCACTGAAACACTCCCTACTTCATGGTGCCGTAACTTAGTGTAACTAGAATAGGTGGATATATGTTAATGCTTTTATACATTTTTTGTGACCTCACAAAAATTCACCACTTTTTGCAGGCCATACTGCTGGCAGAATGAAAATCGGCTTGGCTTTCATTAATATAATAAATTAAAAATATTTTTCTTTGTAACTCTGTTATCAGATTAATTAAGACACTGTTGGTCTTGCCAAGATAAAACAGATAGCATAACTGCAGCTTTCTTTATGTCACGCAATCGTGTACAACTGCCATAGTTCAGCTGAAGGACCTCCAAAACAGGCAGAAGTAGCATTTTATGTGAAAAGAGTTAATTCAAAGTGGGATGCTTTTGTAGCTTACTTATCATATATGAACTGAGGAGAGAATAGTATGATTTAAAACTGATTCAAAACTCTTATTTCGAAAATATTTTCTATGATATGGGCCCTTTAATCATTGCCTACTGGAAGACCTGGTCACTGCATTAGTCACTTGTGTGGTCATCCATAGACATTTTTTAAAAAAGGCCTGCCCTTTTTATTTTCGCTGTGACTGTTTTTGATTGCTGAGAAAAGCACTGCATATAATATGTTAATATATGTTGTATATTGTATGATATTTGACAGGGTAATGGTCATTTTGATTGGTTAAGGTGTTTTACATGTTGTGGAAGAGAGTGATGTATGGATGACATCAGCGATCTGAGCACACACAAGCACTGATATGTTGAATTATCCACCCACACTCTTGCAGAGGGCCCACATCTGGTTTTCACTGATAATTTCCTGCTCAACGAAATTCAATATCTCTCATTATTGTAGCAGGCCAGGGTATTGCCCTCATGTGGCCATTACGTCACAGTCTTGCTGTGACTTTGTCTCTGGCTCTGAAAACACAATGAACTCAATTAGCCTACGCGTCCTTGACACAAAAGCAACCCTTCATTCGCCCACTGCTCCTGCACACTGGACCAATTACAGGCCGCTATGATCGCATCAGTGTCCGAGCACACCAAACTCCACAGTGAGTCAAGTCAGAAAGTCACGTACTGTGGACTCAATCCAGCTTTTACAAAGGGATTTGTAAAAGATTTGTCCAAGTTCCCCTCTTAAAGCATGTGTTTTTCCCAACTAGAGCTCAGCTAAATCATTTCAAATGACCGTAATGACTCTTGAAATAGCCCCAAATGTTATCATCATTACGTAATTAAAGGAGTTGTCCCACATGCGTGTGACAGAGTGATTTCCTGGATCTTCACTCACACAGTGGCATGTTCATTTGAATCCATTTTAAAGGCATACAATTGGCATAAAGTGCTCATTCAAAACTTCTGGCTCTAGTGCCACTCAGTGTTGTGCATAGTTACCACTACGCACCATCTGATAACGCAGCAATCACTGGTTTATTTCAGAAGCTCATTAAAGCTATTTTAAGCAAATGGCTTTGGCAGAAGTGAGTGGTTGAAGGAGAGTTCTGTGAAACAAGGTCTTTCAATAGGCTGTCATCACATAAAGTAGCTATTTTGCCAGTCAATTACGCATCAACAACTATGAAACGAGATCCCTGTATCAAAGTTCCTGTGTAGTCAGGGGTTTGAATGTTTCATTTCATGCCACTTAACTTTCCCTCAACTTTAACCTGTGACCTGGCATTAACTTTTGAACTTGAGTTTAAGTTCTGCTTGTCTGTGGGAATGTCATACAAGCTACTAAACAAAGCTTTCAGGCAATGCTTCGTGTAATATTAGTACTCAGGTGAAAATAAAGGAACAAAAAGAATCTTACAAACTGTGTCTAAAGAACTGGTGGTGCTGTCACACAGTTCTCAACGAAACCTCAAATACACTGTATTTAAATGTTCAAATTTTGGCATAATTCAATTTTTGAGTTGTAAGTAAAGTCATTCAGAGTTTTAAAATGTGCTGTTCTAGAGAAACTTATTGATTCTTTACTGATAGGAACAGGGGTCATGATGTCTGCAGCAGAAATATAAGCATTGTATTTAATATGTTTTTATATACTCAACTCCATAACTATTGGCACCCCTCAAAAAACTGGGCAACAACAGTCATATAAAATAAACAATATACATAATGATTCAAATGTTCCTAAAAGAGTGTAGAAATTGCTCACCATTTAGCCCAATCTAATATAAAGCATTCCTACAAGAGTGTTGTTTCAAGAATAATTTATTCTTTCAAAACCATATAGGGCAAAATTATTGGCACACCTAAAGACCTAAAGACACCTAAAAAATAAGGTTTCTTGGGTACTATTGTGCCTCACAATCCCCTGTGTGTACCTGTTGGTCTTGAAGGGATTTACAAAATACATTTAGACCAGAACTTCTTAAAACTATTATAAAACAATTCCAGGCTGCACATTCATTCATATTCATTTTATTTAATAACTTTCAGAGGCAGCTTTTAAAGATGTTGAACATTTCAGACGTCTGGTTCCTCTCACCACCTCTGTGAACCATTCGGACTGCAAGTTTCTCTAGAATGGCACATTTCACACAAAACCACCCTGAATGACTTTGTTTACATTTCAATATGAAGGGACTTGGAAAAATGGGTAGAATTTCTCTTTAAGGCAGTCCAATTAGAATGACCTAAATGAACGGAATGTGGGTTACACTGGATTGCTTGTATTTGCATATACAGTGGAGAATCTCACATATTCTGCATAAGCCCATCATACAGTGACTAATGGCAGCGCAACTGTCCAGGCCGCGTCTGTGCTGATATAAATAACTTCCTGGCTAAGAGTGCGCAGAGCCGGCGGGTCAAGCTGCCACATATGGGAGGATGCTGGAATGCCCGGCCGTCTTGCTGGTGTGTTATTCCTGTATTCTGGCAGCCTTGCTGTGCACCAGTACATTTTGTACAGAGTCTCAGCGGGGCGCACTTAAACACTCAAAGCTTGGGCAGTCAGTCAAGCTCCCCCCAACACACACAAACACAGACACAGACACACACACACACACACACACCTCCCGTGCTTGCCACACCCTTCGTCTTAAGACATCCATTGTGTGCTTTGTAGGCAGACTGGGAGGCTTCTCTTTGTGAACAGACGGAACGGCCCCGGCGTCATCTGAAGGAGGAGGGGCTGCTGGCTGCTGTTGTCTTTTCCTCACCAAATCACGTGAGACGGTCCTCGTCCGGTAACCATGGCAACCAGCACCGGTCCAGCCTGCATCTCACAGTGGTGAGGAGGAGGATCCGAGAGAGAAAGGTATAGAGGAAGAGAGGGAGCGAGGGAGCAAGAAGAGAAAGCTCTACAAACACAAACCCCGTGCCCTGCAGCTGTCACGGATATTCCCACAGTGAGTAATGTGCTGTTGACTTTACTCTTTTGCTTTGATGCTTGGAGTCCCCCATGGGTGCCTTCTTCTCGTTGCTCGTGTGCTTGAGTATTCAGCCCAATGCCAGGCTCATTTTAGGGGTTTCCTCCCTGCTTTTGTTGTGAAGTGATGACATCATTGATCACTCCTGTCCTAGGTAGGAGTCCCCCCATCTTAAAATAGAGGATGAGTGGGATTCCTTTGTCACAGATCAATGCCTTTTTTGTCACAATGCTTCTGTCACTGGTATTCAGAGTAATAAAAGATGAGGGAAGACAGGTTTTAGAGCCCCACCTGCAACAATAAAGGTGGATCCTCCCGCCTGTTGTTGTTTCATAGTGAGCACTGAGCTCTCAGTGGACTGTGCGCTTCACTGCTCCCATTAACTTCTTTTAATAGCTCTCCAACAGCAAGGATTCAGCCTCTATTGGAGTCACTTGCTGTTCCCAGTATAGTCTGTTTAATTAGCAAACCCCTGCCTAGTGTATACTCTAGCCGGCATACTGGGTCAACCTGTTCTTCCTTACAGCCTCCATATGTGAACTGTCCTTGTGATGAAGATGGAGCATGGTAGAGATGACTGTTTTACTCCCAGTAATTGCCACTGGTGATTTAATGCCATGTTTCTGGTGGCTTAGGTGTAATCGATTTGAAAGGTCAGCTGATCATTGCATAATAGCAAGAGATCAGTGCGAAACTGCATTTGCATTTGCATACAGAGTAAACTCATAGTCGACAGTGTAAAAGTCAGTGATGCAAGCTTAGAAGTTTATTGACCCGACTAACAACATTTTCATTTTATGCCATGCATAATCTAGAAGGACATTACATAATATAAAACATGTCAGGAAAAGGGCTATATCCCCCTCAGGACCACTTATGACATTTGTATGGGTTTATACACCAAGAACAGTGTTAATTCATTTTATGTCTCTCTCTTTGTCCTTTGCAATTAAACTGTTTTTGTTACTGTGCCTGTAAGACTGACATATTATTGCTGTCCAAAGAAAACAAGTATCTCTGAAATGGCAGATTTACAGGAGATGACAAAAACACTATTTAATTTTAATGTAGGAAATTTTATGCCAAGCGATTTTGGCGCATTTTTATTGGTCCTATAAAGATTTGACTCAATGTAAGGGGCAGCTGATAAGGAATGATAAGGAAAAAAATGTAGATGCATGTTTTTTTTGGACAGCAACAATATGTAAATGACCTCTGTTCTTATTGGCTGCCTTAAATTGTGCCTCATTCAAAAAGCAGTCTTGGTTGAAACACTCCTTCTAACTTCAACGTGAATGGGTGGAGCTAAACTACTGTAGGCTGAATAAGCAGACATTTGCAAATAGATTTTCAGAACATTCAAAAAAGGTAAATGCAAAACCATTTGTTTTTGCAGTTTTGTTGCCGTATATATGGATTGTATGTAGACAGTAAATGGTACTATCTGAAACACTGTTTACATTCTGCATCCAACTCTTGTTTTAAAAAAACAAAAAGGTTTTCTGTGCTATCGGAGGCCCTTTGACAGCATTTTTGCTCTCTTAAGTTCTGTTGTTTGCTGTCTTGCTTTCTTTTTAAAGAAGACATAGCTTTAGTGGAGTTATGCTGACCTTCTGTTGATCTTTTTTGCATTCTTTCCAGTATCACGGACATTTCTCACACATCTCTCATTATGCACTTTTGAGGAATACTGCTCCCAAACATTTGGACCTCCACTTTCTGTGAATTATGTCCATTGTGGGGTAATACTTAACAGATGTAGGCTATCACCGTGTCATCCTATAAACAACCTCTCACCCTCCCTAGACTGTACAGCAAATTACTTTTATAGGCTTTTCTTACTGCTTAAAATAGGTTTTACATGGAAACCTTCTGTAGTGTCCTTGTGGGTATACCGCAGTAATAATAATGGCAACAGTAATGACGACATAATAACATCTATTGGTTTTGCGAAAGCAAAAGTGGAGCCACGTAGAAGCATCCTTGAGGGTTTGCTACTATCTTTCCAGAGAACTTTACTTCTTAAAAATGTTCCATTTCTCACATGCCAGACTAGGACATTCACTGATTCACAGATTCCCTCTTGCCAAGGTCAGAGTGTGTAGAAGACTGAGCACTGTGGTTTAATTCTGACAATTTAAGTGGGCGGTAAAGCTATCACTCTATACTGTTTAGAGCTGGAATGTGTAAAAAAACAAACCATTGAATACACATGCAAGGGACTAATACACTTGCATAGTGTCTGCAGTGCAAATGTCAGGGACCACATTTCTTCAATTTCCAGTCAAAATAGCCATTAAGGACAAGTTATTCATTTTTGAGGAGAGATTTCTGAGAAGATTAGACATAAGATAATCCACTTACATAAGAAAGGGTAAAGTCAAAGGAGCTTTCATGTTTTCATGAGAAAATCAAGCTCCACTATTGCTTCAGATCTGAGAAAATCCCCAGGTGTTTCTGTCCATCCTTCCACTGTGGAAGACAACTCAACACTATGAGTCTGAAAGGATGTGTAGCTGTCAAGAAGCTGTTTCTGAGAAAAGGAAATACATAAAAAAGAAGAAAATTTTCACTACAACACCAGAACTGGACATCTGAAATGTAGGTTAAGATTTTATGGACTGATGAGTCTATATATTCGTGATTGGGATTATTTGGATTGTGAGAAACAGAAAATACAACCAACTTTGGAGTTGTGGAAAAATATCCCTGCAGATTTCTTTGAAACACTGAAAGCAACACTTCCAAAAAGAACAGAAACCGTAAGACAAAGAAAGAATACTGAAAAAAATACATTTTCTGTGTAATTTTCAGTTAAATGTGTTTTTTCAGCATCAGGAAAAAAGCAACACTTTTTAACTTGCACTTTATGGCTGTCTTGATTTCAAATTAAATAAATGAAAGATGGTCTCTGACTTTTGCCCAGTACTGTGTATGTAATATTTCAGTATAAATGATAACTTTACATGCTGTTGGTATCCTGTAATACTTTTATTGTCTGTGATACATTTCTTTAATATGAGTTAGTGTAGTTAATTTGAAATAAGCTGTGACCAAATGCTGAATTTTGTAATAGTGTACAAGGCCTCATTTGTCTATCAAAATGTCACAGTGAAGTTCAGCGTATTGAATGATAGTCTGAGTGCACTCAGGAGTCTCCTGTGGGTGGGTGCTGAGTGATTGGAACAGTGGAACGTGGCTGATAGTGTTGAGAAACACCTCCAGTCTGGTTTGTGGTGTACAGCTTCCCCAGATAAACAGATAATGGAGTAAAAATATCTTTTTATCACTTTGAGTCACGTTCACGACTATGTTTAATAGTAGATATGTGTGCCACAAAAATGCTGTGGCCTCTAAATTGCCTTCCATTCACACCCAACTTGTTGACTTTGACTTTTAACTGACTTAGAGGCTGCCACTGCTTTCCGCCATACTGTTGATTTATATCATATTTTAAATGCTGTTGTGTATGGAGGACTTACTAAATTTCAGGGGCAGTGACCTACCTCACAGTCTTTCTGTCGTCTCTCTGAAATTCATGCCACTTTCCTTCTAGAAGATAAACAAATGTGTGGCAGTTAGTGTGTTTATTTTGGTTTGGGGCTCTTGGGTGAAGAATTCTAATAAAAACATTTTTTTTTAAACCCATTGACTTTTCTGGGTTTATATTCTTAATGTGTACTTCAGTCCATAAAGAATGAAGGGTCACTGCATGTCCTCGGTCACCTCTCATTTATCTCAGTATAACTCTGGATGCAATCATTGAGGTCTTTCTGGTTCAGTGCGTCCTGGGCTAATCTATTCTAATTGCTGGGCTGGACAAGGCCTGGTCCCTGTCTATGTCAAATCATTTGGCTGACATTCACCCCAGAAGTAGTAACAAGTAGAGGGGTCTTGAACATGAGTGAAAATGAAAATACACATATACAGTACATACAGAGCTTTGCCAAAAGCCTTTACAGGCATGCTTTTTTAAAACCCAGATCTTTTCAGATGTTTTTACTTGTTAGAAAGACAGTGAGAGAGTACATTTAACAAAGCAAGGGTTATAATATGTGTTCTGCAGCCTGATAGACCAGAGTCATAATTGTTCACAGTGGTGGTGATAGGAACCAGACATCCACCTCTAAAAAGCTCTCTCACAGAAAGTTATTACATGAAATGGATGATTATGAATACAGAGCCTAATGTCTGATACACTTGCGTTTACATGCACTTCATAATTGGATTTCTGCCATTATCTCATTATTCAAATGGTTATAACAGCATACTCTGATTTCTTAGATCGGAGTAAGGTCTAGAAATCTGATAAAGAGAGCTGGATTTTAGCTCAGTAATTGGAAACCCTTTCTCTGATTTCTTTCAAAATTCTCAGTCTATGCATGTGTGAAAACAGACCATGTTGATCGGATTACTGACAAAATCTGACTTTCTGCAGTTATCGGATTATTAAGTGCATGTAAATGCACTCAGTGTGTTACGGTAGTTTTGTGATAATATTTTGTCCTAAACGTATTTTAATCAATTGATTTTAAACTGTTCATGGTGGAGGGATATATGAAGGGTGCTTCAAGGCAAAATGGTCCCCAAAGAAAACTCTTTTTCAGATACATTCCTATCACCACCATTGTAAAGAAATCTGAGTCAGTAAGTTTACACAAATAAGCCATTTCACACCAAACCACTCTGAATGACTTACATCTCAATCACTAAATTATGCAGACATTTTGCAAAATCGGTGGAGTTCCCCTTTAAGGGATAAATTTAAAGCTGCTAATTTAAATTTTGCAACTAACAAAAACTGAAGTGCTAAACCTTAAACATAGGGTCTAAGGCAATTATGGATACACAGCCCATTTAAGGTAAAGGGAAAACCTAAGGCCAGAATTCACTTAAGGTGTTTTATGTCAGTGACCACTTGCAAAAAGCATATCAAACGACAATTTCATTATGCAGCAGTTTTTAAAAATCTGTAGAAT